TCATGAAGACCCCCTGCTAGGTGAACTTAATGACTCCCTCCACCAGACACCCTTGGAAACATCAATGGCTGCAAGAATGCAGGCAGAGAGAAGGAGAAGAATTGATTTTTACAGCCTTTATGGGTGTAAAAGCAATCAGCCTAAAAAAAGAAAAAAAAATTTCAACACCCCCCCACAAGTAGTACAGTGTCACTATGGTGACACTGTACTGCTAGGGTGACAGTATGTTAAAATAAATAAATAAATAATAGTTAAAATAAAAATGTAAAAAAAGTTTAAAAAAAGTATAATTTTTGGTTATAAACTAATTTGTTTTTTTTTTTTTTACTAAAAAGATAGATGAATACATTTTGGCCAATATTTATGAATAAAGATTATTTATTTGCAAAATTTTATAAAAACAAACACTTTTTTTTCAAAATTTTTGGACTTTTTCATTTATATAGCAAAAAAATAAAAATCCCAGTGGTGAATAAATACCACCAAAATAAAGTTTTATCTGTCTCAAAAAAATGCTAAAAAAATTAATATGGGTACAGTGTTGGATGACCGCGCAATTGTCATTCAAAGTGTGACAGCGCTGAAAGCTGAAAATTGGCCTGGACAGGAAGGGGGTGAAAGTGTCCGGACTTGACGTGAGTACCAGACAAGGGGTCTATACCTGTGCATACATTGTCTACAATTCAGGGGTTCTAGCAGAGACTGGCCAAATTTCAATAAGTGTGGACTCCCCTGCTCAACAGAAGCCAATTAAACAGTTGCCATGTTGAAAACAAGAGACATGCTGGAAAAATTTCCATCAATCAGCAGCTGCAGCTGCTGATCAGTGTATTCTCACAACGGTGAATGCCGCTGTCAGAATACAATGTCCCAGTGAGGGGGATTCCTTCTTCTACCTCGTTTGTGTAGATAGAGGAATCTGTTTTTTTTTTTTTCGATCAGCCTACTGGCTGACCCAAAAAAAAAAGAGCTAGCCATGTGGGGCCAGCTGGAAAATCGAACATATTTTATTATTGATAATAATTAACCCCTTCCCGCCAACCTCACTGAAATGGGTCTTTATCCATGGGGCCACATATCTGTGTAGCTGTCTTTGTGCTGGGAGTGTGCCACACAGCCTGCTCCCAGCACACAGACAGGGCTCTCGGGTCTCATACTAATGATCGGGACTTGAGACTCCTGGTTTCTGGGTCACCTCATTTCTGTGATAGACTTTGATTGGCCCCTTGCAAGAGAGGAAGATGTAAATAAACAAAAGTGTGTAAAAAAAGAAAAAAAAAAAAAAAAAATAGCTAGATCAAGGTCTGATCTAGCTCAGTGTTAGGGTTAGTGTTAGGATAAGGTCAGGGTCAGTATATTTTAGATAGATTTTTTAAGAAAACATTTTTTAAATTAGTATCCATGTCAGTTAGTGTCAGTGTTTTAGGTAGGATTAAAAAAAAAAAGCAAAAAATGTGCACTATTGTTTCTGGGCCCTACTATGGGTACAGGCAACAAAAAACATACATACAGAATTTATATTGGGTTATTCTTTGGTTGTAAATTATTATTTTTAGCTTTAGCAAGAAATATGCTACTAGATTTTAAAAAATGATTTTTTTTTACTATTTCGAGGCAGTTTTTCTTTGATAATAAAAAAAAAGTAGGAGCTATCCATTAAAATAAAGAATAAACTCCTGCGCTACCTCAATGGGATAATAAATAATAATGTATGGAGCTGCTGCTAGCATCAAAACTTGTGTTTCCACAACAAAAACATAAATAAATGAATAAACTCAATGCTGTGCTGCTAATGTGAACTATACATACCAAATCATCAATAAATTAAATATATACAGTATATAACATGCATGAATCATGACAATATAATGTCCATAAAGACAAATCCGTGAAATATGAAAACAACGGTCAATAAGCTTTACATTGACTTTCTTCACAACTTCATATGATTCCTCACGTGGTCATATAACCAACTCTTGAGGTGCTGCAAAGCATGCAGGTTGTGCCACCTCAGGGCTCACAGAACTCTCACCTTAAGGCAATTAAAATGTGCATTATGATAAGAAATAAAAAGAGGTTCCTCCACTCTCCTGGCCATCCACCGTTTAGAACCATTGGGTGCCCTCTTTCCTTTCCCTTGACCACCGAACCAGAGAAAAAAACGGTCCCTTTAAGGGTGGCTTGGGGGTCACTTATGTAGAGGAAACAGAGAAAACTCCGGTAGTAGAGTATGTTCTAACAAGTACATTTTATTAAAAGTAATGCACTCACATGTCCATAAGAACAAAAAAAAGCCATTGAAAATCATTTGGAGTCACCATATACAGACTGCACTTCCACGTATGTCACTTCCAGTTCACATCTGCCTACAGTCATGCTCTATGCATCATGTCACGCCCACGTGACTTCATCAGGGGTGACGTAACGCATAGGGGCTTGGCCGTAGGCAGACGTGAAGAGACGTGGAGATATTCATTACCATTTACCACCAAAAAAAAAGCCCAATTTGTCCTGAAAAAAAACAAGGTATAATCCACCCAGATACACGTCAGAGTTGCTAAATTGTGTTCAAGCAATAAAGTTTGTTTTACCCTCAGTCACTAAGGGGTTAATGACTTGAAAACATAAAACAGCCAACTCATTCCGGGGGTTCAAAACCTCCCCCCTTCTTCAGGGAAGATATAAATAAAATTAAATATGGTTTTCAACATCTGATTCTTATATTAGTTCAGTTCACATCAAGGTATACTGATTTGTGTATACAAAATATATAAAGATCACCAAAACTAAAACGCATCCAGAACAAAAAAAAAAAAGGCTGAGATATATCCAGTAACAGTAATATACCTATACGTTGCATAACAGGAGCAGATGGCATTATTAAGTGAAAAAATAAACAGTTTTTTTGGATGGATTAAATAAACATAATAGTTTTGGCAATAAAATGTATGGGGAAAGAATATAAACTGATTGTAAATGAATTGCAAATGCAAACAAAATCCATACGAATAGTATATTTCGCCAGACCTTTCATTAAATTGTAATTACCAGTAACGCAAATTCTCAGCATAAACATCTAACCTACAGAGTCAAAAATGAGCCACTGGATAATGAAACAACAAAATGCAATAGGTAATAAAACCCAGGCAACATAGAGAACGACTAACAAAGGTTTCTGTCTGATGCAGTCATGTTACTGAGTACAAATGCTTCTGAAATATGTTGGATACGGCTTGTTCTGTGTGATATACATCAAAGTATAGTTCAATAAAATAACTATAGACAGAGGATGTAACCATGTAAACTATAAACTGAAATATTGAAAAGCTCTTTTGAATACATGAAACTGTCATAGAAAGGTATAACGTGAGTTTTATGAGCGATTCAGAAATGGCACAATGCCAGGATTAATCTATGAATAAAAAACAGAATGCTAATTAATGTGGATTAGTGCTGACTTTACTAACAGGTAATAACTTCAGATCCATTTACATTAGTATTTTGTCATTTGAGGCTCTCTGGGTCTGTATTCCAACATTCACCCACTTGCCACAGCCTTACATTGGTTGTAAACCTCTGAAAGGAAACCTCTATTACACCAGACAATCCAGGGAGATGCCCTCCGAGCACACAGCAGGTGGTGGACAGCCTAAGCTGTGCATGTTTCCCTATGAAACTGTGTAGAGGAGGGTGTGTCCATTCCCTCCACTCTGGTCTCAGATTACACTGAGCTCTGTGCTCTATTCTGTGCAGTGTGTGACATCAGATCCCCATCCCCTGCCTTCAGGAAGCTCAGAAATGCTGTGCAAATTGTGTACTTTAAATGACTGTAGAGAAGAGATGGCTGCTAATAAACAGGTACAACTTATGTAGGAGGATTTGTTTTATCTCTGTGTATCATTTCAGGCTAGTTATTTCACTGGGTATACTGTATACATATAAAGGTTTACAACCTCTTTAATAGGGGGTCTCACTCTCACATATATTATTGTACAGGCAGGGAAGCTGGAGAAGTAGGACTCTTTGGGTATGAGAAAAGTTTAGCCCCATTGGAATGCACTAGATTTACCCTTTACATCAATTCTCTGTTACTCTACGATACATTTCACGTCCACTTTGACTTTTTGCCTCCACATGTCTCTTAAGTGAGACCTTCCTATCCAAATGTCTCTTGGTGATACTTTTGCCCCCATTTCATTCATGCTCATATATATATATATATATATATATATATATATATATATATATATATATATATTATTTTTTTTTTTTTTTTTTTTTTTTTATTTATTTTTTTTTTACATGTTTCAGCATATGATAACAAAACTGAGAAGTTTTTTTTTTTTTTTTTTAAAACAGTGCACTAAATAAAAGCCTTATATGTCCTTACAAAATCTAAAAATTATTAAGCAATTCAAAGTAGCCAGAGAGCTATTGTCAAAGTTACACACCACATTATTTATATATACATACACTCACACACATATATATACATATATACACACACACACACATTATATTGCCGAAAGTATTGGACCGTCTGCATTTACACGCACATGAACTTTAATCCCATCCCAGGCTTAGTCCGTAGGGTTCAATATTGAGTTGGCCCACCCCTTGCAGCTATAACAGCTTCAACTCTTCTGGGAAGCCCGTCCACAAGGTTTAGGAGGGTGTCTATGGGAAAGTTTGACCATTCTTCCAGAAGTGCATTTGTGAGGTGTTCTATCGGGTTGAGGTCAGGACTCTGTGCAGGCCAGTCAAGTTCCTCCACCCCAAACTCGCTCATCTATGTTTTTATGGACTTTGCTTTGTGCACTGGTGCGCAGTCATGTTGGAACAGGAAGGGGACATCCCAAACTGTTCCCACAAAGTTGGGAGCATGAAATTGTCCAAAATGTCTTGGTATGCTGACGTCTTAAGAGTTCCCTTCACTGGAACTAAGGGGCCAAGCCCAACCCCTGAAAAACAACCCCACACCATAGTCCTCCCTCCACCAAACTTTACACTTGGCACAATGCAGTCAGGCTAGTACTGTTCTCCTGGCAACTGCCAAACCCAGACATGTCCATCGGATTGCCAGACAGAGAATCATGATTGGTCACTCCAGAGAACACGTCTTCTCTGCTCTAGAGTCCAGTGGCGGCGTACTTTACACCATGGCATCCAACGCTTTGCATTACACTTGGTGATGTAAGGCTTGGATGCAGCTGCTCAGCCATGGAAACCCATTCCATGAAGCTCTCTACGCACTGTTGTTGTGCTAATCTGAAGGCCACATGAAGTTTGGAGGTCTTTAGCTATTGACTCTGCAGACAGTTGGCGACTTCTGCACACTGTGCGCTTCAGCATGCTCTGAGCCCGCTCTGTCATTTTCTGTGGCCTACCACTTGGTGGCTGAGTTGCTGTTGTTCCCAGTTGCTTCCACTTTATTATAATACCACTAACAGTTGACTGTGGAATATTTAGTAGCCAGGAACTTTCATGGATGGACTTATTGCACAGGTGGCAACCTATCACGGGACCAAGCTTGAATTCACTGAGCTCCTGAGAGCGACCCATTCTTTCACCAATGTTTGTAGAACAATGTGGTTGTGGGTCCTGGTCAATCATGATGAATGGTGTTGGAGCTGTCAGCTGTCAGCTATCAGCGGTGCAGGAGATTTGAAAATGCCACCGTTTACCAGCGTGGACTGCAAGGAAATTCCAGACCCGGCGGGCAAGAAGAAGTCAGGTGACGCATTTCGAAGCGCTTGCTTCTTCTTCAGAACTGATTGGCTGTAGGGGGCTCACGTGTTTTATAGGGAGAGGCCCCCTACAGCCAATCTTTTCTGAAGAAGAAGCAAGAGCTTTGAAATGCGTCACCTGACTTCTCCTCGCTCTGCCATTGGTCCCCTGCTGGGTCTGGGATTTCCTTGTGGTCCACGCTGGTAAACGGCTCCATTTCCAAATCTCCTGCACCACTGACAGCTCCATCCCCATTCATCCTGATTGACCAGGACCCACAACCACATTGCTGGATGACAAAGGCTTACCAGAGGAGGATTTTAAACCATGTCTTTTCACTTCTTACGTTTGTGAGTAGTTTTACTCCTTTTGATACCATTAAAGCAGGGGTGTCCAAACTATGGCCCTCCAGCTGTTGAAGTACTACAAGTCCCATCATGCCTCTGCCTCTGGGTGCCTTGCCTCTGGATGTCAGAGTCTTGCAAGGCCTCATGGGATTTGCAGTTCCTCAACATCAGGAGGGACATATTTTGGACACCCCTGCAAGTATTAACCCTCTACATTTAGATTGGCGCCCCATTCTGTTCGATTTTATCTCCTGCAGAGTACTGCTTCACTCTATGGGGAGCTGCCTTCGCCTGTCATACCCTATCTGGGACTTTTGGATTTTTGGACTTTATGCCTAATTATGTCACTTTTTATCTGTACTGTATGTGATTTTATTTGCTGTATTTACTCATTTTAGGATATCCGTACTTGTGGTTCCCTCCAGGCACCAATTCCGGTTTTGCTCTCCCGAGCCAGCATATGATGACTGTGTGATGCCTTGCACTAAAGGCGTTTATCTACGGACTCTAGGTGGGAAGGGGTTAAACCAACTTTGCATCAACTGGGAATTCCCTTTAGAGATCCGGTTTCAGCATGTCATAGAACTCAGAACCCTGAAAGTTAAACTGTGATTGGTTGCACTCAGTCTATATTACCGTACCATTAAACAACCCATATAATTTGACTCGGCACAACTTGCAGCCATGGCAATTTCAAAAATACTCAGACATGCTGTGAATAATCTTCTTTCCACGTATGAGTCGCCCAAGGACTTTATTCGACCTCTCAACTGGGCTCTCTTGATTCTTTCTGAAATGAATTTGAATTCACAGAGACACCCTCTTGACTACCCCCTTGTTCAATTCCAAATGATATCTGTGTCACCTGAATGAAAAATCCATCTGCTGTGTGCTAGTTCATGCTTTCCGTTACAGAAGTGTTTCTTGAAGTCAGTCGGTCAAATATCACTGTCGCGGCATTTCCAGTATCCCAATGTCAGATTTAGATCTGTACCCTCATCCTCCACTTCCCTTCTTATCAGTAGCTATGACCCCCTTAAACTTTCCAGCCTTTCTTTAGCCACCCTCAGAAACCCATCGCTTCTCAAAGACTTTCCAAGGCCTGACTGCATAATATATCCAAAGGGTCAACATTTTCACATTAACCACTTACACTCCAGAGGATTTACCCCCCCTTCCTGGCCAGGCCATTTTTTGCGATACGGCGCTGCGTTACTTTAACTGACAATTGCGCAGTCATGCAACGCTGCACCCAAATTAAATTTATGTCCTTTTTTTTCCCCACAAATGGAGATTTCTTTTGGTGGTATTTGATCGCCTCTTCTTTTTTATTTTTTGCGCTATAAACAAAAAAAGGCCGACAATTTTTAAAAAAAAAAAAAACAATATTTTTGACTTTTTACTATAAAACATATACAGTAAAAAAATGTAAAAAATCAAATTTCATCATAAATTTAGGCCGAAATGTATTCTGCTACTTGTCTTTGCTAAAAAAAAATCCCAATACATGTAAATGAATTGGTTCACGTGAAGGTTGTAGCATCTACAAATGGCGTTATGTATACTGTTTTTTTTTTTTTTTAATACTAGTAATGGCGGCGATCAGCAACTTATAGTGGGACTGCAGTGGGCATTCTGACACTGAAAGGGAACTGACTGTCACTGACATCTCCAGTCATACTAATACAGTGATCAGTGTTAATAAAAAGCATTAACACTGTACTAATGACACTGGCCAGGAAGGGGCTAACATGTGGGGCAATCAAAGGGTTAACTGTGCTGTTTTACTATGTAAGCACGCTGGCATGCTGGAGCTGATGGGGGAGAGATCTGTAATGTTTACATACAGACCTCTCCCCCATCAGTGGTCCTCGGTGATCAACAGGTGCCGGCGGGGAATCTCCAGCTGGGACCCGGTGATCGACAGCTGTAGCTGCCAATGGCGGTTCAGGTAAGGTGCTCATGTGTGCCCCCTACCAGGTAATACAAAATCACGTATATATGTATATATACACGTGATTTTGCGTAGCCCTGCCGCCCTGTAGCAGTAGTTCTTTTATCGGGTGGTCGGGAAGCGATTAAAGTGATATTAAAGACAATCGTTTTTTTATAAAAACAACAAACATGTCATACTTTACCTGCTCTGTGCAGTGATTTTGCACAGAGCAGCCCCGATCCACCTCTTCTCGGGTCCCCCGCCGGTGCGCCTGGCCCCTCCCTCCTGCCAAGTCCCCCCATAGTAAGCAGTTTGCTATGGGGCCAATGGCTCCTGCTGCTGTCTCAGCCAGTGAGAAGAGAGAGCCCCCATAGAGACAAGGCCTCGTGCACATCGCTGGATCATGATGGGGCTCAGGCAGGGCCGGACTGACCATTTGGAAACTCGGGCACTGCCCGAGGGCTCAGGGTCAGTAGGGGGCCCCATGAGATGCCCCTGGTACCTTTTTCATAGACTTTTTTGAGTTTGGGCAAGGACACAGGGGCCCCATGATCCCCTATTGCCCGGGGGCCCCATGATTTGTCAGTCCGCCCCTGGGCTCAGGTAAGTATTAGGGAGGCTGAGGCTGAGGGGCAGCTACTGCACACACAACCTTGAGCCTTTACAACCACTAAGTGTCATTTTACAAGCATTAGACAGCCAGTGTGCCAGAGCTCAGATCATTCCCAGTTCCTGTACCGTCTGACCTCAGATCATCCCCAATTCCTGCTCATTCAGACTTTAGATTAGACCCAATTTCTCACCTTCAGAACTTAGATCACTCCTAGTTCCTGCAGCTTTAGGCCTCTGCCATCCTCAATCTTCAGAGCACAGATCAGACCAAATTCTAACACCTTCAGATCTTCAGTCAGACCTTCACACCCCATATCAGTGCCAATTTCTACACTTTGTCAGCTCAGATCAACCCCAATTCCTGCACCTTCAGATTTCAGGACAGGCATAAAACTATGAAGGGCCTCCCTGACCCCCAATCAGGCACTTCCCTCTAAGCTTCTCTCTGATCCTGGGGCCCATTACTCCTGTTATTACCCTTATGCCCTTAATTACGGTCCTACAGTGGGACCCTTTCACATGTTCTGCAGGGGGGGCCCCCTTCCTGCCATTTTTTGCCCCCCCCCCCCCCCCCCCCCCCCCACAGTGGCAGAAAGCCACGGCCCGGTCGCAAGTGCGATCTTTGTGACTTTAGTAGTTCTGCCACTGGAGTCAGTAGTTTTTCATTTTTGATATTGTATTTTAAAATTATTTATTACCCTTTTAATTTTTTTTTTCTACAATTTTATTTTTAAATTTTTTTTACAATTTTTTTAGAGGGCCCATTGGGGGACTTTGGTGAAATATTAGGGTTCTAAACATATCTCTGATGTTTCACCTTTGAGAAAGAAAAAGGAGACTGAGGATGACACAGCCCTCAATCTCCATCTCTGCATTGCTGCACAAAATGAGTGGACAGGAATAGCTCTGTACAGAGCTTTTCCTTTCATTTACAAACTGAAGCATTGTAAATACAGTTTACTATGCCTCAGTTATGAAAGGACACAAGAGCAATCAGTACCAATCAATAACTGTGCTCATTCAGAAAAGGAAGGGGCTGATAAATGACATATTTACCAGCCCATTTACCGCTCTCCTTCCAGACACATCCCCGCAGCAGCCAGCGCTGTGGGAGATGAGGGGTGGGCAGGAGAGCACACAGGGGGCCAAGGGCAGCAGGAATTGGCTAGCAGGGGTGGAATAAGAAGGAACTGATGTCCTCCGTTTTCCTCCTGCAGAAGCCGAATGTCCCAATGAAAGGAAGAGGAGGAAAAGCAGACTTTCAGCAGCTTCAGAAGGAAAATGGAGGGACTCAGTTCCTCTGTATGTCGCCCCCTACTACCCGTCCTATCCAGGTGTACAGGGGAGCCACACAATTGCAACCCCTGTAGTTATACCCCAGACCTCAGGTCAGCCCCACTACCTGCACCTTCAGACCTCCAATCAGACCCAATTCTTGTACATTCAGACCTCAGATCAACCCCAATTATTGCACCTTCAGACCCCAGATCAGAACTAGTTCCTGCACTTCCTGAGCTTAGATCAGTCAACGTTCTTGCATCTTCAAACCTTAGATTAGGTCCAATTCCTGCATCATCAGAACTCAACTTCAATTCTTGCACCTTTAGACTACAGATCAGCCCTAATTCCTGCACCTTCATAAATGCATGGATTTTGCATTCGTACAGTACATGCTGCCACTGGCGGGTCCCCTGAAAGGAGGAAGACGGTAGGCTTCTTAACATAAAATTGGCAGCTGCAGATAGGCCTACACTAATACTGAAAGGAGGGCCAGACCTGACCATCAGTGACATCACATAGACCTATCTTAAATGTCATGGAATTTAGCGGACCATGAGGGCAGAGATGCAGGCAAGTGTCAGGGATCCCGACGCCTCGGCGGTGCGCGCATGCGCAGAGTGCCGACTCGTCCGATCCAGCGAGCACTGAATCCTAGGCGATTGTGGTGGCGGCCGCGCATGCGCACTAGCGATCGCGGCCGCACCAATGAGAGCACAGGGCGGCCTATTTAAACCTGCCCTGTGCATCTCCAAATCGCCTTCTGGTCTTGTCCTGTTCCTGATCACTCCTG